AGGGAGGGGAAAAGGCCACCGTTTCCTTATTGGGTTAGTGAGTATATAGCCTGAAAGCAAGCTTCTCTTCTATTTTTGCTTTCTTCTCTTCTATTTTGATATGAAAGGCAAATGTCGCCATTCATTCATCTTCATTTTGAATAACTGAAATCACAGAAAGGAGGAGGGGGAGCGGGGAGGCAAAAAGGACTCCAGAATCCCAGAGAACCTTAGTGTAGAAATAGACCAGGAGGTAACAGTGGGTTTAAAAAGGGTGGGGGCGGGGAGGGAAACAGTAACAGGAATGAAGAGGATGGGTTCCATTTAGCCAGGAGTACCTCTGAGAACCTTGTGTTTATAAGCCATGGCGTGGGTACACAGAGGTGACTGAGAAACAAGCCCTGCTTTCACGACACTTCGAGACTTGAGAGCAATCCAACCGACCACAATACCTGGCAGAGTTGGCCAATGGCCACAGAGAGAACTGACCAACTGTGCCCTGACCTGAGGTCAGAAGGGACTACTCCCTAGGGCTGGTGGCATGTGCCTGGGTCCTAGCCATTTATGTAGGAGAGAAGTGGGTAAAAGGGACACTTTTCACTCCCACAGAGTGCCTCCCCTACACCTCTTCCAGCGCAGAGGTCAGCTGTCTCTGTGAGGACAAATCCCTTTACCTTAAACATCCATAGCACCAATTAACATGGTTTCTAAGTGCCCATGTGGACATTGCCAGTCCAAAGGCACATTTCTGCTAACCCAGAAGGATAAGAAGAATTCAGGAGTTTTCACAGTACAATTATATTCTGGTTAAAGCCTATCTTTTATTTTTTTTTGGGGGGGGGGTGCTGGGGATTGAACTCAGGAGCATTTGACCACTGAGCCACATCCCTAGCCCTATTTTGTATTTTATTTGGAGACAGGGTCTCACTGAGTTGCTTAGCACCTTGCCATTGCTGAAGCTGGCTTTGAACTTGCGGTCCTCTTGCCTCAGCCTCCTGGGCCACTGGGATCATAGGTGTGCATCACCACACCTGGCAAGACTAGCTTTTATGATGTTGGTTTCTTTCTATTTTTTGATGATAAAAATCCCTTCCCCTTCTAATAAAATTATGTTGGTAGAAGATAATATATTTTAGATGTTTAAAAAATATATTTGTACTTGACAAGTTAATAGTCGGCCGACTGCATCAGCTCCCGAAATTTGACTCATCTTAGGCCATTTCAGAGTCTAAGAGCAACTGGCCCAGGGTGCCATGCTGGGTCCATCGAGGCAAGCTGTGGGCCTCTTTCCCTCTTCTACTTTAGGCTTCTGACTCGTCCTCCTCCTGAGCTGCCTAGACTGAGGTCCCACCCTTCCTCCAGATTCATTGCCATGGTCCCTTTCTGTGTTGGGGTGTGGGACTGTTTTCTCCTGTCTCCTTAGAGGGGACGTGATAAAGTGGCTCACAGGCATGAAGGAGGCCAGATTCATTCACTCTCCCCCTGGGGCCTTTGGGTTTTAGTGCAGTATTAAAACTTAATTCAAACCAATGAATTGTAATGGTGGAATATCAGCCCTGCCACGGGGTGATGGGAGAAACATATTTATTTTTAAATACAGGATCTTCTGGAATCAAACCACACACTTCAAATGACTAACAAACCATAAGAAAAAGCAACTGTCTCACAGAGCTAAATGTCATGCTCCACTGTGAAAAGAGGTCCTGGCCTTCCTTCTCTCTGCCCTCTCCCATACAGGATTTGTCAGCCTCGGCTCCCTGGGAAGCACAGCCACCCCAAAGTCCCTTTTAGACGACTCCAGTACTTTGGAGGCCAATTTTCTGCACGCCTGTTGCTCTTGGCAGAGAGGATGGTCCTGGATTCCCAGGGCCCTGGGTGGTGCCCCATGTGCAGCAGGGAAGCAATAGAAGATAAGTAAGTGAGCAACTGGGAGTAGAGAACCAGGTTAAATATAGCCAGCCCCCTGCAGGGCTCCTCTGCATGGACGGCACTTGAGTGAATGCAAAGGCTTAAAGCCCACAAAAGCTTTGAAAACTGCAATTCCATGAATCCTGATTACAAACAACCGCAGGGAACCATTCAGACCAAGGGAGTCTGGGTGCAAGGAGGGAGCAGAAAAATTCAGGAGAAATACCCAGGAAGACAGGTGGAAACCCCAGGAACACTGCAGTTCGAAGAAGCCCCCTTCTCCTGAACCGGCTGATGAGCTTCATCACACATGCATTAAGTATGGTCTGTATTTTGGCCTGTTGGGAAAAAAAAATATATAGATAGGATCTGGGACAAAGCCACTTACTCTTTTGTTCCCTTGGACACTCAGCAGAATAATAGTTTTCTACATTACATACATGGGAGAATTTTAAATGCTTTGTTTCTGCAGAAGTGGGACAGGCATAGTGGGAACATCTGTCAACCCCACCCGCCCCCCAAGTATTTTCCCAGTGGCAGCTAGCTAAGAAAGGGCAGGAGTCCCCTTTCCTACAAGCCACTGGTTCTGGAAGTTGGGTCTCTGGACTCATGGGTGCTACCTGAGGGCTTTGCAGAGAGCCAGCTTCTCAAGCCCCACCCAGGAACCACTGAACCTGAAATTCTGTGGGCGGACTCCAGTCACCCATTCTAAGGATCCTTCCGGCTGTTTGGTCAGGGTGGAAGTTTGAGAAACACTGGTGTAAATACCTTGGAGTATGGAACCTGGGGGCCAGGGGCTTCACACAGGGCAACAGCTCTTAGGTTACTTAAAAAAACAAAAAAGATGTAAGGGATGACTCAGCTGCCAGACATTGCCAGTGTTGCCAGGCCTGGGATGAGATGGCTGGGGGCACGCCCAGGCTCAGGGGACCTTCTATTCAACCCTGGGCATGGCATCTTCACCACCAGTCTAGGCCCTATTCCTGTGGTGACGTGACCCACAGTAGTGGCAACTCTACGGACTCCCAGTCTATTATTAGTTCCAAACGGCACAAATCCGCCAGTGCCAAAGGCAAGCTTCTGCGAACTTTCGAAGGTAGCTTAACTGTCTCAGAGCAGCAGCTCTGGGCCTCCAACCAGTTGTCCCAGCGGCCAAGCGCTTCCCGGACTCCAGGGCGCCCAAGTCCCTCTCCACTTGGCCACAGAACCCGGGCCGGCGAGCAGCCAGTCCCAACCTGCGTCCCTGAGGCCAAGGATGTGTCCTGGTTTTCTAAAAGCTGTTGGTGCACTTCAAGGGCCTCACCCCTTTCATTTGTGGTATGGGTACGATTGGACTGGCCTAATTAATTCATTTTCTTTTCAGTCTAAAGTGGGAGCCGGAGCCCAGGGATGCAAATCAAATACAAACCCGCTCCGGGCGCCAATACTCTGGACAATTAAAACAAAGAGCGCGGCGGCAGCGGCGGCTGCACCGCACAAAACCCTCGGGAAACATCCAGAACGTGTCACCAATCAGCCTGCAGGGTGGGGCGCAGCCCGGGTGACAGCGCGAGAGCCGGAGGGCGGCCACAGCCCTGCAGGTGGACAGGTGGAGGTTGGCAGGGGTCAAAATCCATCCTTGAGGACTTGAAGCTGAGCCGCTGCGTGGCACAACTCCAGGGGGCACGCTCGCCCTGCGGGAATGGCGCCCCTGCCCAAAAGCCAACCAACAAAACCCATTGCACGGGCGGGAACTGGGCTGCGCGGCCGCCAGAAGGGGTGGGTGGGAGAGGGCGACGGCGAGAGGGAGGAAGAGGAGAAGGGAGGGGAGTTAGGGAGAGAGGACACGGGAGAAAGTGGGGAAAGAGGGGGTCAGCAGGAGAAGCCAGGGAGAGGAAGCAGGGCACGCAGGGAGAGGCGGGGGTCGCAGAGAGCCAGGGCGCGGAAGGGGGGCGAAGGCGGAAAGAAAAGAAAGAGAAAGGGGCCGGCTGGCGGCGGAGCGCACCGCGCCGGGGGCGGCGGCGGCCGGGGGCGGGACCCGGTCTGTCCCCACCTGCGTGGGCGCCCGCTGCCGTGAGCGGTGGGAGCCCCGGGGCCGGAGGGAGCGGCCGGGAGGCGGGCTGGGCTGGAAGGCAGAGGGGAGGGAGGGGACGGGGACTAGGAGGCGGGGAGGAGCCGGCGCTCGGCTGGGGCTGCGGGGGCGGCGACGGCGGGAGCGGCAGTGGCGGCGGCGGCGGGTCCGGCTGTGGCGGCAGGTGGCCCCGCGCTCGGCGGCCGGCCCGGCCGGGGGCGGGCGGGAAGGTGGCGCCTCGGGCGGGGGCCGGTCCCTGCACCAGGTGACCTGTTCCGGCCCGGATCCGGGCGGCCTCGCCATGCAGCGGCGCGGCACGGGGCTCTGGTGGCCGCGGCAGCAGCAGCAGCAACCCCCGCCGCCCGCGGTCGGCCCCCGGGCCGCAGCCATGGCTCCCCCGAGCGGCGGTGTCCCCCCGGGCCTCGGCGGCCGCCCTGCCTGCGCGCTGCTCTTGCTCTGCTACCTGGTGAGCGCCGGACCCCGCTCGGGTCCTCCCTTCTGCGCGGGGCTCCCGGGACGCGGGTGGGGGCGGCCTGGGACCCCAGCCGTACGGGGTGGGGACGGCGCTGCTAGTTTTCTCTCTTCCTTGCCGCTGCGCCCCGGGCGCTCCGGGCACCTGGGATGGGTACCGGGGCGCGGACCCGGGCGCGTGCATCGGACTTGCTTCTGTCGGCTTGTGTCTGTTGCTCTCCCTCTCAGACTCGTCGTAGACCGGGGTCAGGTCCCCTTCGGGATCCCCTGTTGTCCCCCACTCAGTCTGAAAACCTCGCTACCCGGAGATCGCTCCCCGCCCCACCGCGCACTGCTCTCCAGCCCCCTCCCAGCCTTCCTGGGCTTCCCTCTTATTTTCTCCAGGCTCCTTTCCCTCCGGTGCTCAAGTTCGGCTCTGGCTTTCAGCACCTACCAACCGCTTCGACCCTTTTTAGTTTCCACCGGGTCCTCATGGCCCGGACGGTTTTGTGCCAACGCACCTCGCGTTTCCAGCGCTCCTTAACTCGTCCGTGGTCACTCCAGCCAAGTTGCGGATGCCAGAAAGAAATCTAGTTCTTTGTAACACGCTTACCGCCAGAGTGGTGACTTTAGCTGCGTCTTGAACGTTGTCATTTCAGAGAATGTGCTTGGCTTGTGTACGTCAGTTTGCAATTTGCCCACTTCTTGGCTCCTGTTTTACTCATCAACTAAATGGCAGTAGTCTATTTTTCAGAACCAACTCATTTTAAATATCAGAGTTATTGAGACCCTCAGAACACAGTGGGGAAATATTCCTCAGTTCCTTTATGATGGCTTGCTTTCTCCTGTTTTTGAATTCTCCCAAACAATAGTAGATTTACAGAAGGCGACACCCTTGCTGCCCAGCCTACTTTATGTTCCAGGATCCTGCAGAAACCCCGGGTTATCTCGCCATATATTACTGTAAATAAATGAAATGGAAACTGCTGAATCATGAAACTGATGTAATAGGAAATTCACAGAATGTTTTTTAAAAAATTGAGCAGTGTCATTGTCCAGAATTCTTTTCACTTATGTATCATTGTCATTATCTGGAGTCTTTCTTTTTAGCAGCTCAAAACTCCCCAGGAGATACTGGCAGGGATTAGAATTGGATTCTGAAGAAATTTGCCACTCAGCTGAAGATTTTTTTTTTAAACACTCTACTTATTGGATGCTTCATTTCTTGAAGCAAGAGTGTAAAAATGCAAATCGTATTTCTGCCTTTGTATCTACCTGTTGAGCAACCCATGCTTTCGCTCGTATTTCAAAATTAGCCAATACCAAATTCCGTGATTGGATTTAGTTCATGTTTTCACAAGAAGTTGTCAGTTAACATGAGTGATTTTTTTTTTCGCCCAGAGGATATTAATATTTAATATTTATGCCACAGGGTTACAGCACACAAGCTCATAAATAAAACTGCCACAACAAATGGCAGGGTTTCAGTTTAAACAGATGATCCCTGTCCACAAGGCCCTGCTGGTTATCCAAACAGAAGCAGAAATGATGTGGTAGAGCTGAGCTCGAGACATGCACGTACAGGTGGTCTGGAAAGTTCCACGTGGAAATCTCTAGAGCTGGCAAGGAGGGACCACTTCTCGAGAGTTCTAGAAATCAAGGGATACGAGTGCAAACCCTAATGGCCTGAGTGATTCTGATCCGAGGCAGAGGATGGAACAGCTCAGAAGTTCTGCACGGGCGGAGGGGACTGGAGAGAAGGGGTCACAGCGAAGGAAAATGATAGACTGGAGACGTGGTAGACTGGAATGAGATAGGGACGCGGTGAGGTAGAGCTCCGGAAAGAGATTATAGAAATACTGTAATGTGGAAAATAACTAGAGCATGGACGAATGTCTTGCAGCCGGCGAAGGAATGAGTTTTGGATCATCATGGAGGGGGACCTGTCAGTGCTTTCTGCTTGTGTTTGTTTCCTTCCCAGGGGCTCACGATACCAAAGAGAGACGTTGATAAGCAAGAAGGGCCATTGTGCAACGGAATGAGAAGGTTTTGTGCACCCTGGGAAGCCAAGGCCTGACTCAGAAGGCTGTCTCTAGTTTGTTCCAGTGTCTGGCCACATGCTCGGGATTTTTGTTCTCCAGGTGTGTCCTAACTGAGGCACTTCCAAAAGGCAAGGCCTCCTGATCCCAGACAGGCTTGGTGTGTGAATTGGAGAAAATATTAGTATTGCTATGTGATGAGCACTGTGAAAAGATTGAGAAGCAATGCAGATGCATCATTGTGAACAGTCTGTTGAACCAAGGAAGGCTCCCTGGAGGAGGAAATTGTTCAGGGGGATAGAAGTGGGCAGGCGGAGGGTAGAAGTGGAGCAGAAAAGCCAGTCAGGATCTCAAGTATATGTAGACAGTGGAGTGAGAAAGCACTTCTGAAATTTGGAAGCCTAAACAAAGTAACAATAGCCTGTATTGTACTGAGTCATTTATAGGCATTATCTAATATGATTCTTAGTAACAACCTGGTGAAGTAGGAGTTTTTATGATCTCTATTCAGATGAGATAAGGGAGGCACAGAGAGGTTAAGTCATTTGCCCCAAGCCACACAGTCTGAAATTAACCCCAAATCTATCTAAACTCTAGAGCCCTGGCTTTAACCCATGCTAGTTTTTTGCCTTCTGGATTTTGCTGCATGAAACCCATTCCCCTCGTGCATAATGTATGGTCCATTAGCAAAGCTCTAGCAATTAGCTACTGTGTGGTTGGCCAGGATGTGAGGTCATTTCTAAAGTAAACTGAAATACACAAAGCAGGAAGCACAGGCCACAGAATCGAAGCAGGATGTTAGGGAGAGGGAAAAAAAAATAGACAGACAGACAGACAAACCAGAAAATGTTTGCCATCAATAATGGAGAGGTAAAGGAGTGGGTCTTTATATAGTCCCCAGGCAACTGGACGGCTAGCATTTTAGTTTGTGTGGCTGTGTGTCCCGGTGTCTAGCAAGTGTTCACTGGGATGCATTCAGAGCCAAATTGTCAATGATTTGGGGACCAGGCCCTGTTCTGTGTCAGTCTGTTCACAAGGGCTAAAGATTGAAAGTGGCTTTCTCCACAGAAGGCCCTGAGCCCCTGTCCCCTTGGGGAGCATGCCCCCAGAGTCAGGGTACCGAGGACAGGGAATCCTGCCTTTTCCACCAGCTGGGACAGAGCAACCTTCCACATCAGCCCGTGAGGACTGTGACTGTAGCTAGGATACTGCCAAAGCATGGATAATTGTGATGAGGCCTGAAAGATCAGTCACGGAACGACGCCAAGCAGATTTCTGAAAAGATGGTCCCTGGTTCCAGCGACTGCCAGAAAATTCTGAGGTCACCAAAGGTCAAGATGCAGGGAGCTTCCCCCCAGAGGGTGAGGGCCTGGAAAGCAAAGGACTGGAGTGGCTTCCCTTGAGGTCCCCGGCGCTGAGAGGCCTGCTAGATGCAGGACTCGCCCACCCTGCCCCACCGACCCCACTAACACTTAGCAGCCCCTTCTGTCCACCCTCAGCTCTAGTCTCCAGTGTCTGATTTTTTTTTTTCTTGAGTGAGAGAATAAATCTCTTAATGGCCAATATTGATGTCAGCGGTAGAGATGAAATATTCAGAATGGACATTCGCGCTTGTTAGACAAGCAGGGGACAAAGAAATGAGGACATCAGCAGCACAGGTATATTGCCAGACGGTCACTGCATTCGTCTTGTTGAGGAACCTCTCTAAGTGGCCACATCCTGTCAGGTAGCCATCCAGGGGTATTCATTAGCCCCCGTGGGCAATGCACAGCATAGGAAGACCCTCAGTCAGTCAGCTGCAGGAAGAATGATGTGGGCGTTTGAAATACAGGGATGACCTCAAAACTCCAAGAGCATCCAGGTTCATCCTGCCTGGTGCTCCTAAACTCCATCACGGCGCTCCCATGTGCCTTCTGTGTCTTCTGGCTGCCTGTTGGCAGAAGTTTGGGAGCAGAGGAAAGATCCAGGGGAAAGGCATAAGGGAAGAGATGAAGAACCCAGGCAACTCACTAAGATGGATAGACTCGCGCAGATCATAAATAGCCTTTGGTGAGTTCAGTTGCCCTGTTGGCTGGTCCCATCCTCCTGGGAAAGGAGCCGAGGGCGGGAGGCAGAGCTGCGTGGGGCCCAGCCCAGGAGCTGCTGCAGCTCATGTCCCCCAGCCTTACCCAGGCCAGGGCCCAGTCGTGCTGGCCCGTTGGCCCCGTCCTGTGTGCAAGGCAACATCTGTTCTCCCGAGACTTGAGGTATGTTGACAAGATGGAACTGTAGTCCCCTTCCCCCACTCTTTCAAGATGGGAATGAAAGTCCCTCATTTGAAGCCAGGGGCAAGTGGATGAGTGGGAGCATCATTTGGGTGTTTCTGGACAGAAAGATGCACATCGCCTCTGACTTTAGAGACAACCAACAAGGATTTGAATCTTGGATCTGCTTTTTGGTAGCTGATTGATGCTGGGCAAGTTGCTTACCCACTCTGAGTCCATTCCATGCCCTCAGCTGTGAAACTGGAATGCCGTCTCCCTCACGGGCCTGTTGCGGGGATTAGGTTAGAAGCGAGAATCTCCACAAAGGTGTATCTGAGAGGATGAGGCTAGATGTGGATGAGAAGAAAGATTCAACACACCTGTCCCAAGGTCCAGCACGCGGTAGGGCCTCGGTGAACCCAACCAACCTCAGTTCCTTTCTGGCGATTTGAGTTGCAAAGAAACAACACATTCAATAGCATGAGTGGGGGATGGATCTCACACAACCGGGAATATGGATCATTTTTGTGATGGCATTTCTCTGGCTAGCCCTCAGGTTTGGGAAGGAGTGGTGCTTGACTGGGAAATGTTTCCCAAGGTACATGGTGGTTTTAAAGTCCATATTGACATCATCGTCCATTGTCCTTAATTGCATGCTTTGTTGACATAAACAGAATTTCTGCTTATGTCTAGTCAGCAGAAATCAAAAAAACCAGGCCCTTTTAGACCGATACAATTACTTTTTTGATCTGTGGAAGTTCGATCGGGCCAGTATGGAGAGTGCTCACGAGCCAAGGTTTTCTCAGGTGGCTGATGGGGAGAAATGGGTAGAAATGAGACACTCAATTATTGTTTGCGTATCAAACCTACGCACCTACACATGTAAGTCTACATGAACTTGCCACAGTGAGATGTGAACGATTTAAGATTTTCCAATCTCTGTTTCTTCTTTAAATAGCTCATGGGCCATACAGAGAAAGAGCCAAGTTTCCCAGCTCTCTGAAACAGGGTTATTTGAATGGAGTCTCTCCTTATTGATTTTGTTTAAAGGAACCAAATGCAGTCATCCTAGAAGTTGTTTAGGCTGTGCTGAGAATTTTGTTTTTTTCCATTCACCAGATACATAAATTCATCTGTTTTTTTTTTTTTTTATTCTCAAGATGAATTAATGCATTTAGGTCTCCAAATTTGGGTCTTCTATTATGAACACAAATTAACTGGCCCATTTCTCCCCCCCCCCCCTTTTTTTAAATCACAATACATACATAAAGACAAAAGAAGTCTGTTTTGTGACAGTGTGATGTCAAATTTGACTTGGTTAGGCCTCACTTCTGCTGAGCGGATGTTGGAGGGCCCAGGTGTCCTTTAGCTCCAGCTCTGTGTGTGCAGAGCAGATCAGCAGTGCTGAGGTGGGACCTCCACGTGGCTGCCTAAATGTCATCATCAGAGGGGTGCAGGGGTCCCCCCTTCACTGCACCTCTCTTGCTTGGAGCTGCAGTGCATTTGGACTGTGCTTTTAAAGCATCCTCTCGCAAAGCTGGCACAGAAATGCAGCAGGTGACGTTACCTCAGTGTTTTTTCATTATCACATTAACATGGGTGAACTTGCCAGATGAACAGGAATCCAGCCGAGGGTTAGCAGGATGGGAAATGTTTAGAATTTAATTTGTATTTTTGGTGTGGAGAAATGGAAATGTTCTCGAGGGTAGTGCGGTCGTCTGAAAGGTCTGCAGGAACAAAATATCTGACAGAAGTACATCCCAAATAGGTGTGGCAGGGTGTGTGGTGTCAAGAGTGCCACCTTCCCCATTCTCAGAGTCGCTAAGTCCGCTCTGACTCCAGGGGCCTGGTGGGGTGCCAAAAGGTAAGTTGATGAGACTGGATGCATAAAACACCCACCCCACCCCCACTGCTAGAGAAGGACAGTGGGTACTCAAGATTGGATCCAGTCTTTTGACTTACATGCAGGTCCCGCCAGGGCTGAGCAGCTTTGGTGCAGGAGGGGTCACTGAGTCACCTGGTGGGAATACGCATGCCCAATCCCTTATTGCAGCAAGAAACACTAGGCTCCTCCTGTGTGCCAAGCTCTAGTCTAGCAGCTGGAGACAGAGCAATGGTGCCGATCTGAATTCCCAGTTTCCAGACGAAGGAACATGTGGGATTATCTTTTAGGTTATGTTAATGCAACCTGGCATGTGAAAATACCTATGAAGGTTGGACACGTGTCGTGCCTGTAGCCGGAACTCTTCAAGTTCATTGCTTTATTTTCCTGGCAGGAAGCAGCTGAGAGCCACACAGAGGACCTGAGCCAGGAAATCAGTTTCAGCTTAATCAATATTTGGAGTATGAGGTGTTGCTAATCGGTGTTGATTTGGTACATAGTAGAAGTAGCCACAACTCATGATGTAGCAGCCACCCACGAGGCAGATTCAACTCACAAGCTGCCAGCTTCCTGCATTCCAGAGGGACCCCAAAAGCTGAAGACTGAGGCCTTCTGGAGGGTCGGAGACCACGCTCCGCTCCCACCACACCAGGAGATACTGAAGCACCTATCCTGTTTCAGACACTGCCCGGTCCTGATGTCACTTTTCTTTTGTGTTTCACTTGTCACCCCGCTTCTCCTGCTTCTCAAATATGCCTCTCAGTCTGCGAAATTATATCTCTGTCCCCAGCCTGGCTTTGGGTTCTCATCTGATTTAGAGTTTTTCTGAAATAAACCAGAGCGAGATGTCAGCAGCCGCTACCTGGACACCTTAGAAACACCTGGCGTCAAGCCCCGTTGCCTAGCTGGGCATGAAATGTTCCTTGTGGGGTTATTCCTCCCCTTTCTTAGGTGATGGCTCCATACAAAGCATGACTTCTGTCACTCTATGTGCTTCAAAACCCCATCTAGTATAAAAGTTGATAATCTAGAACGGTGGTTGGCAAACTCGGGCTCATAAGCCAGGCCACCCAGCTGCCTGTTTTTGTAAACAAAGTTGTGTGGGACGATTGTGTCTGTGGCTGCATTCACACTGCAGCAGAGCAGAGAACACTGACTGGCCCAAATACTTCAAATAAGCCTCAGGTTCAATGGAGGCTAAAAAATATCCCCTGAACCCTAAAACCATGTCTCCTGTCATTATCCCTTAAACAATACAGAAAAATAACTGTGTATGTACCACCTGAGTTGTATTAGCTACTGCCAGCAACCTAGAGATGACTTAAAGTGTACACGAGGCTGTGCCTGGGTTATATGCAAATGAGCACATTATATAAGGGACTTGAGCATCCACAGATTTTTGATGTCCTTGGGGGTCCTGGAACCAGTCCCCCATGGTTACGGAGGGATGACTGCATTTACCATCTGGCCACTTTTTGCAGCAAAAATCTGCTAGCCTCTAATGTAGAATATCACCGTCCGGTAGAAAAGTTCAAGCCACATAATATGATTTTGTATTCAGTAGTTTCCATATCAAAAACGTCAACAAGAACAGGTGTAATTGATTTTAATATTTTATTTAACTTGAGGTATCCAAATATTATCACTTCAACATGCAATCAATATAAAATTATTAATGAGATGTTTCAAAGTCTTTCTTTAAATCCCAAGGCTTTGAAATCAGTGTGTCTGATGTACTTAGGGCATATCTCAGTGAGGACCAGCCACCTTGCAAGTGTCTAATCTGCCAGGGGACTGCCATGTTGGGTAGCCTGTGTCTAGAACTCCTGTCCCTGGGGTGTGCTTTTACGGTGCTTGAGACTTTGAAGCAGGTGAAAATAAAATAATCTTCATATTGGAGTGTATGAAGATTTTCTTGGGAACAGAATTTGCAGAGAAGGCCCGGAGAGGACCCAGAGAGGACCCGGGTCAGGTGTGTCTCTACCTCCTCATGCACAGTGGTATGTGTGACACACCAAGCCAACTGAAACCAGGCCAGAGGGCTGCTGTGCTTATTAATGTGGAAAAGTGTGACGGGTGCATGTTTAGCAATCAGATGTAAAATAATGAAGTGGATTATTATTAACTGCACTTTGCGATGAAATCTCATGAAATCAAATGGCCTTTCGCCAGCATTCTGTTTAAAAGAGGTTTTCATTGGAGTTAGCTGCATCCGCATTAAAGCCATTACGAGGGAGGAAGGGAAAAAAAAAAGGGCAAAGCAGGAGAATTGGGCCTGGGTGAGTTTTTAAAGTACAAATAAAACGAAGGAGGAAGGGGTTGAAATCGTTCTTTGGAAAAGAACACGATTTTTGATATTTAATATACCATAGCATGTCCTGGGCTCAGCACTCCCTGTTGTCTCACTAAATAAGCAAACGTCTCCTTGAGCTGAATTTGGCAGGGAAGCATCTGGCCCGTTGCTGTGGGATCAAGACGCGCTGGCCGCCCCTCGGCTGCTCTTCTGGGCCAGCCGCCCTCAGCGTCAGGGGCACCGCGAGCTGTGGCTTTGGGCGCAGCTCTGGGGCGCGCTTAAGTGCTTGACGCAGAGCTGCGTGGTCCTGGCCACCGAGAAGCAGTGGGTCTTCCGAGTTGCACCACGCATGGGGCGGGGGGGCTGGCAGTGAAGGACAGGGGCCTGGCATCCGGTGGCACCCGGTGGCAGCCGGGCTCACGTCTGCGGACCCAGCAGCTGGGCCACGCGTGAGACTCCGCTCTTAGTTGTGGCTTCCTGGTTCGCAGTTTGAGGGCGTGGGCAGGCGTGCCACCCAGGGCTCCCCTCTCCTAGGTTCTCCTCTTCCAATTATCAGATCCTTTTCATATTTGTTTTCTCCCTGTAATTTGGCAGCATAAATGAGAACATAAAACAATGCAATCGCTCCCTGTGGGGGACCACAGTTTGGACTGTACCTACTCTACATATTTCTTCCTACAGGTTTCCCATGACTAATCAGAGGAAACGGCCCGCCCTTCCATTCTTCTCTGCCATTTGTAGAAACTGCATTTTCCACTGTCACCTTTCAGGACTGTAGCTCTCCCTGCTCTTTGAATATTCACGTGGTGCAGAATTCCAAGGATAAAGAAGAGAGCACAAGGCCTAGCACCCTCTTGCCTTGTCTCTGGTCACCTTATCCTTGTCCTCGTTCCATGTGAACAATCAATGCTGTGTGTATTCAAGGAATTTTTTTTTTTACCTTGTGTGTGTGTGTGTGTGTGTGTGTGTGTGTAAAACTCAATATGGTATTTTTGAATCTGCTTCAAAACAAAAGAAAAAACTTCAAACCAAAAACCCTTTAGAGGTTATCCCATGGTCTGCACATGAAGATGTTCCTCTTTTCACAGTTGTATAGTACTCCAGGAATGGATGTACTATAATTTTTTTTTTTTTTGTACCAGGGATTGAACCCAGGGGTGCGGAACCACCAACCTACATTCCCTGTCCTTCCCCCTTCATATCTTATTTAGAGACAGGGTTTCCCTGAATTGCTTAGGACCTCCCTCAGTTTCGGAGGTTGGCTTTGAACTTGTGATCCTCCTGCCTCAGCTTCTCCAACTGCTGGGATTACAGGCATGTGCCACTGTGCCCGGCAGATGTACTATAATTTAATCAGCCCCTCTCGATGAAATTTCCCATCCTCTGCTGTGGAAACAGTGCTGGTGTGAGACAGCTGTGTGTACATCATTTCACACAGGTTTGAATACATTTGTAAGATAAGCTCCTAGAATGGAATTAGCGTCTGTCCTCGGTGATTACTGCCACCAGCCATACCTAAGAGAGCATGCTTCCTAACTCCAGCCAGTAACATGCAACCTGAAGTTTTGATCAGTGAGTCTGCTAGGTTAAAAAACGGTACCCCGGTGTGGTTTCTACTTGCCTTCCTCTTACTTGAGTGAGAATTTACTTATCAATGAGCTACAGCAGTTGCTGCCTTTCCTGTGGATCATTGGCTGTGTTTCTGATTGGCTGTCAGTTGCTTTAAAAGGGACGCACCACCCTCTTTTACAGCACCTTCCTTGGTCTTCGCTGTCTGTAGAGTGAAAGTCGCTTTCCTGGGGCGGGGACTCCACACTCCAAGGCCAGGACCGCCTTTCTTTCTGTCCTGTCTCCCCGTGTGTATTTGTATCTCCCCCCTGGTGTTCACTGGCCACAGGATCCTCACCTGAAGAACTTCTCTTCGTCCCTCAAAGCCCCACCGAGATGCCACCTCTCCCATGAAGCCTGCTCTCTAGCCCCAGGCAGGTCCCTGGGTCCTGTGCTGTCTCCCCCGGGCTTTGGCATCTGAGCCCTGACAGTGCTCCCCCTTCACCACCGTGATTTCTTGACATCCCTAATGTCACACTTCACGCCTCTGCATGGCTCCGAGCCAGAATTGAAGAACCGAGACTCTATTTCTTCTTCTTTTTTTTGGAGGAGACCAGAGTGACCTTTTTCATAACATAAAACTTGCCATTTTAGTCATGTTGAAGCGTCTAGTTCGGTAGTCTTAAGTGAATTCACGTTGCTGTGTGACGGCCAGCACGTCCCATCTCCGGCACACTTATGTCATCCCACACCGAAACTGACCCCTCCGACACCCGCTGCCCTGGCCCCGCCAGGCCCTGGCAACCCCGTTGTCCCGTGTCTCTGTGATCCGCTCATGTAAGCAGATCGCACCACACTGTTCTGTTGGTCCGGCTGCTCACTTCTCTTAGCTAGTCCTCCGGCTTCCTCGGTGTCATAGATGTATCAGAATTTCATTCCATCCCAGTGCGTGTTCTCCGCCTTTGTTTATCTTGAGTTGCTTTTAGTTACTGTGAAGAATGCTGAGCACACAGCCCTCCCCTCCGGGCCCTGCTTTCATCTCTTTCGGGTATATACCCAGAAGTACAATCGCTGAATCAGCTCGGGTGCTACTTGTGTGTCTAATTTTCTTCTTTTTTCATCACTAGGGATTGAACCCGGGGGAATTTTACTGCTCAGCTCTATCCTCATCCCTTTCTAAAACTTCTTATTTTGAAACAAGGGGTTGCTTCGTTGCTGGTGCTGGCCTTGAACTTGTGATTCTCCTGCCTCAGGCCTCTGAGTAGCTGAGATTACAGACGTGCACCTCCTTGCCCGACTAGACATGTCATTTTAAAAAAAGAAACTGCTGTGCTTTTTTCCCATAGCAGGTGCACCTACCACTAGTGCACAGGGCTTCTGATTTCTTCATCTCCCCACCAACATGCATTATCTTCTATTTTTCTTTCCTCTTCCTCCTCCTCCTCCTCCTTCTGCTCCTGTAGTAGCCCTTCTCATGGGTCTGAAGTGATCCAAAGTGACCTTTGGGCTACAGTGGTTTGGACAGTGAATCACAAAGCCAGACTTAGAAGAGATCCTGGCACCCCTATTTCAGTACCACATGCTTCAAACATTGCCTTGACTTCATAACCAAGCTTCCCGGATGTCTTCTGGAAGAAATGTCCACAGTGAGAGGCTTGATCATTTAAAGTCAAGCTCAGCAAACACACAGCTAAGACGTTTCCTGGTCCATGTGGCATCAGTCATGGCGGGAGACTCAGACACCACAGTTCGTGGCCCTGGCTTCCTGAGTGTGACTTGGAGCTGTGGGAATCTGTGGGTCGGTCCCTCATGCAGATGTGTCCTGTCTGCACCTCCAGGAGAACTGGGGACAGGCTGGCATCCCTGCCCTCTTGCCTGGCAGGTGCACTTTGAACTCTTGTGCCACCTTTGATCTGGCAACCTTTGACTGCCATTTGAAGTCAGGACAATAGTTTGGAAATGTCTGAAGCCAGGTTGTCTCTTTGTCGCTCTAAGGCAGCTTTAGTTGCTAATGGGTTTGCCGTGGATTCACTCTTCCATTGGGAAGCGGGCTTTGGAATGGTTGCCACGTAGCTTTGAAAGTCACATTCTGACCAGCAGATGCTGCTGAGCCCGGGAGAGGGTTTAATGTGTGTGTGTGCATGCGTGTGTTGTATTTTCTCCAATCCTTAATGGTGCTTTCGACATCTCTTATGTAGATTGGTGTTTTGCATCCCAGGAAAATAATGATGTGTGCGCTTGTGTTAACATGATCATGTCTGACCTTCTGTATCTCTCACGTTTTTTTTATTTTTCTCCTTTACAGAATTTCGTGCCGTCTCTGGGTAGGCAGACCTCCCTGACGACGTCTGTGGTCCCCAAAGCCGAGCAGGGCGCAACTTACAAAGACTTTATTTATTTCACCGTCTTGGAAGGAAACGTGCGTAACGTTTCCGAGGTCTCCATCGAGTACTTGTGCTCTCAGCCTTGTGTGGTCAGCCTGGAGGCCGTGGTCTCCTCCGAGTTCAGAAGTAGCATCCCTGTGTACAAGAAACGGTGGAAGAACGAGAAGCATCTGCACACCAGCAGGACGCAGAGGGTCCAGGTGAGATTTCCGAGCATCATGGTTTACCGAGATGACTATTTCATCAGGCACTCCATCTCCGTCTCCACGGTGGTACTGAGAGCCTGGATTTCTCACCAACGCGGTGGCGGAGACGCGAATGTGAAGTGGGAGGAAAACCTGCTCCACGCCGTGGCCAAGAACTACACTCTGCTGAAGACGGTGCCGCCCTTTGAGCGCCCCTTCAAGGACCATCGGGTGTGCCTCGAGTGGAACATGGACTACATCTGGAACCTCTGGGCAAACAAGATCCCACAGTGTCCCCTGGAAGACGGTAGGTCATCGCCTGGCTAGGAACCTGTTCTTGTGTCTTCGTGCCATGGGGTGGCCCCGGAGAGTCTCACATCAGCAGTCGGGGAGATGCGAAAAATGGAGGGGCATGTCGAGTCTGTGGTTTTGAACTTCAGGGACAAAAGGAGAAAAGTAACAAAAAAGTCAGGGTCAAGGGGAAGAGAG